ATCCCATTCACTGCATCCATGTTTCCCTCATGCCGGGCCACGAGTTCCCAATTAACTGTCGGTCGCAGCACAGCTGGAAAAATCCTTCCGCTTCCAAGCAGTACTTGAATCTGGTACCCTCTGTTTCTTAATCATGGTCTGGGGGGGGGGATTGTTGACAGAGCTCTTTCCGGCTACAGTGCTATGAAAACCTGGCATTGTTTGTGCTGCAGCCATCACTAACAAAGTCCCAAGTCCCGACTTCTCTGTCGACTAGCATCGCCATCAGCACAGCGTTTGCACAGGGCCTCTACTTTCCCCTACTGTAAAACGATTTGCGCCGGTGATATTTAGCGATTTTAGCGAAAGGAGTTTTTTTGCAAAAGTTTTGCTGCTCCAATCGAAATTTTGCATGTACAGTACACTACTTGTAGTCCTCTCTTTTAACTCTGAAACTCGGATCACTAAAATTATAAAATATTTCATCCCGAATTGGTCCAGATTCAGAAAATGCTAAAAATGTTACCCGCTAAAATTAGCCATTCTGCAGTATGTACTCACTGCACAAACGTATCGCTATCTGACCAAGTTGGATTTCTTGGCTTGCAACTGCACAGTGTCGTTGGGCAGTGGGCCGTGCAGCGGCACCTGCGTATTCAATAGGCTGCAGTGTATTCAATAGGCTGCAGTGTATTCAATAGGCTGCAGTGTATTCAATAGGCTGCAGTGTATTCAATAGGCTGCTGCGTATTCAATAGGCTGCAGTGTATTCAATAGGCTGCAGTGTATTCAATAGGCTGCTGTGTATTCAATAGGCTGCAGTGTATTCAATAGGCTGCTGTGTATTCAATAGGCTGCAGTGTATTCAATAGGCTGCAGTGTATTCAATAGGCTGCAGTGTATTCAATAGGCTGCTGCGTATTCAATAGGCTGCAGTGTATTCAATAGGCTGCAGTGTATTCAATAGGCTGCTGTGTATTCAATAGGCTGCAGTGTATTCAATAGGCTGCTGTGTATTCAATAGGCTGCAGTGTATTCAATAGGCTGCTGTGTATTCAATAGGCTGCAGTGTATTCAATAGGCTGCAGTGTATTCAATAGGCTGCAGTGTATTCAATAGGCTGCAGTGTATTCAATAGGCTGCAGTGTATTCAATAGGCTGCAGTGTATTCAATAGGCTGCAGTGTATTCAATAGGCTGCAGTGTATTCAATAGGCTGCAGTGTATTCAATAGGCTGCAGTGTATTCAATAGGCTGCAGTGTATTCAATAGGCTGCAGTGTATTCAATAGGCTGCAGTGTATTCAATAGGCTGCAGTGTATTCAATAGGCTGCAGTGTATTCAATAGGCTGCAGTGTATTCAATAGGCTGCAGTGTATTCAATAGGCTGCTGTGTTCATATGCACATGCAGCACTACGGTGTGCGGAGACGGAGTACGAGTAGCTCAGTTGGGAGTAGCTCAGTTGGGGTTCGGAGTGAGTCAGCAAGCACACTCAAACATGTCCCAGTCTGTTTATCAATTCCATTCATTCCACCGTGAAGTGTTTGCTTCATCTGACCTGCAGTGATTGGTTTCTTGTCTGAATGGCGAGGGGAGAGGAGGGCACGGATAAAAAAAATGCAGCTCTGTATGAACGAGACAGGGGATTGCCAAGTTTGCTTTTAGGGTATACGTGTACATGCTGCTTTGTTGCTGCCTCGCTTCCAACTGGCTGCACATGTAGATGTAGTATGTACTCTTGCTTACCATGCTGTGATGTCTGCTGTGTTGTTCACTGTGTGTATGTGTGTGATGTCTGCTGTGTCGTTCACTGTGTGTATGTGTGTGATGTCTGCTGTGCTGTTCACTGTGTGTATGTGTGTGATGTCTGCTGTGTTGTTCACTGTGATGTCTGCTGTGTTGTTCACTGTGTGTATGTGTGTGATGTCTGCTGTGTCGTTCACTGTGTGTATGTGTGTGATGTCTGCTGTGCTGTTCACTGTGTGTATGTGTGTGATGTCTGCTGTGTTGTTCACTGTGATGTCTGCTGTGTTGTTCACTGTGTGTATGTGTGTGATGTCTGCTGTGCTGTTCACTGTGTGTATGATGTCTGCTGTGTTGTTCACTGTGTGTGTATGTGTGTGATGTCTGCTGTGTTGTTCACTGTGTGTATGTGTGTGATGTCTGCTGTGCTGTTCACTGTGCAGAGCCAGTCATCAGAACAAGTAAGTAACTCGTTTTAAAAACGTTCATACTGCTGTACAAACTAGTGGTACAGTAAAACCTGTCAAGGCGACCACTCGGATAAGGCGACCACCTGTCTTAAAAGACCACTGGAACCAGGACCAATGGATGCTATTTCCAGTCAATTGACCCTGGATAAGGAGACCACCTGGTAACAGAGACCATATTTTGAAGGTCCCTTGAGCAGTCGTCTTAGACTGGTTTCACTGTAGCTTTGTGTGGGATATGTATGGTATATGTATGTGCTCATTTGGTCACATGCTATGCTCTTCTTTGCCGTTCACATGATCAGTAGTTGGGTAATCATATGCCGCCCCCAGCCCGCCTGGACATGCACGCATGCACACGAAATAAAAGCGCCTTGGACCCTGGCCATGCCAGACGCCTTTACACAACGTCTTTTGCATAGCTTCGGGAATGGAGTGCGAATGAAGTTCCCAGTGCCACTTTGTCATTTGCACTGGTGACGTGACGCTGATTCTCTTTGTACGGATATGGTGTACATTTCAACGGTGCTGGACACTCGAAATGCAGCAGTTATCGTACCTTTGTGTATACATGTGGTTTAGAGTTCAACTGGTAGCAGACCATGCCAGGATTATAACCGATGCATTGAGCATGAAACGTTACGGGTAGCCGTCTGTCAGCTCATCGAGGAAAGAAACCAGCTACCGCCGACCATGCGGTGAGTGGCTTATTATTATTCTATTAAATAGCATGCCCCTATTAACGTACTGTATTTTCTGTGCTAAATACAGTACAATGTCAAAACTCCAGCGGGGTTGGGTTGTTATTGCTGCTGGTGTTGTTGTTGTTGTTGTTGTTGTTGTTGTTGTTGTTGTTGTTGTTGTTGTTGTTGTTGTTGTTGTTGTTGTTGTTGTTGTTGTTGTTGTTGTTGTTGTTGTTGTTGAATTCTTTATTCTCATGATGTTGTTGTTGTTGTTGTTGTTGTTGTTGTTGTTGTTGTTGTGCCGGTTGCTTTTTCATGGCATTGGACTGTATGTTCCCGGGGAATTCCAAACACACCGGAGTGGCGTCCCCACAGGTGTCTGCTCTGCTCATTGCAAACAAAGCAGCCCATGGCTACGTGAACGCGAGGAATATCGTTCAAGCGTGCACTGTTAATCTGTTAGAGGCATGACCTTGTTCAGCTAAAAGTGTACACCTCTTAAGGTGCCCTGCACTGCCGTACTCCTGCAGTAGAGCCGATGTGCATGCTTGTAGTGGTGCCTGTGTGGCAGGGAAAGAACATGGATGTGCGCCGTTTGCCTGTGTGCTTGTGTCCTGATTGTGCCCTGCGTATGCCCTGCTTGTGTCCTGCTTAATGCTTGTGCCCTGTGTATACCCTGCTTGTACCCTGCTTGTGTCCTGGGTTTTTTTTTAAGAGAACACAAACGTACAAATCATATTGAAAGACAAAAAGTACATTGGACTGGGTAGGCGCTATCCACAATGCCAGTTAATAGCTGTGCTGATGAAATACGTATGCCCTGCTTGTGCCCTACTTGTGCCCTGATTGTGCCTGCCTGCTTGTGCCCTGCTTGTACCCTGCTTGTACCCTGCTTGTACCCTGTGTATGCCCTGCTTGTGCCCTGCAGCACCTACCTGATTACAGAGTTCCCGGACCTGTGTGATTCTTACATCTGTACGGCCAAGGAGAGACGCGTGCGCGATGGCGAGCCGTTCAGGGTATGTTCCACTTTTTGTTTGTCCAGATTTCCTCCTATCATGACTTCCGGTTGTGCTGCTTGTGTGTTCTCTAGTGTTACGTTGACACTCAACTGTACAGTCCTGCTGTATTGCTGTACAGTCCTGCTGTACTGTACAGCACTGCTGTATTGCTGTACTGTACAGCACTGCTGTATTGCTGTACAGCACTGCTGTATTGCTGTACTGTACAGCACTGCTGTATTGCTGTACTGTACAGCACTGCTGTATTGCTGTACAGCACTGCTGTATTGCTGTACTGTACAGCACTGCTGTATTGCTGTACTGTACAGCACTGCTGTATTGCTGTACTGTACAGCACTGCTGTATTGCTGTACTGTACAGCACTGCTGTATTGCTGTACTGTACAGCACTGCTGTATTGCTGTACTGTACAGCACTGCTGTATTGCTGTACTGTACAGCACTGCTGTATTGCTGTACTGTACAGCACTGCTGTATTGCTGTACTGTAGAGCACTGCTGTATTGCTGTACTGTAGAGCACTGCTGTATTGCTGTACTGTAGAGGCGACGGTTCGATACCGGAACGCTTTGACAGCCAAATTTGTATAGACCCAAACCGATCATCAGCGTTGATTTTTCACTCGAAATATGTTTGTGGAAGGAAACTGGCATGTTGAAGTTTGCTCTGGGGCCAGAGTCAATCGAACTGAGCCACTCCTTTGTGTTGACCCATTGCCTCCAAGTAACAGTTAGTTGCCCAATTTTTCGCTTCAAATCAGAGGTGGCTCCTAACCGGACACGTTTTAGAGTGCACGTCAAATTCACTCTGGGTCTGAAATTAGGTAATTGCTATCGCTCCACGACGGCCAGTACAGAGTAACAATAGGCCTTGTGTGTGCTTCCATTAGTTTTGATTGGTATGCGGTGCTTTATTGGCGAGAGGCGAGCCGCTATTTACCTGCGACAAGAAGTTGATTTTTCGAAAGTCGTAAAACTCAAGTCGTAGTGCGAAGCAACATGTCAAAAGCTCACCTGCTTGGTATGGCGCTTCTGGTCATCGTAGAGCCATGACATTTTGGCTCGGAGTATAACACATCGTAGTCTCACGGTGACATGTGTTTTCTAATCAAAATACCAAGAGAGAAAGTGAATATTGAGTCCGTTCCGGTTTGCAACCTATGTCCTATTTGAAACCGTCGCCTCTACAGAACTGCTGTACTGTGCGGTACTGTGGAGTACTGCTCAATGAAATCCTGAACCAGGGAACAACCCAGCGTTTTGCGGGTCTAGGGCTGCACAGAGCCCCGGCGCTCGTATTTGACTCGCACGAGCAGATACCATTGAGCAGCACTGTGCGTGTGTGTGCCATCGCACGGTGGACCGCTGAAGAGTCAGCGATTGTGCGTGCTTCCTTTCACAATCGGGCATGGCTTGTCCACTTACGGGATTTCGGTCTTTGACCGCTTTGCGGTGGGTCCGATCTACTCGCCTCCCACCCCTTTAGGAGCTGCATCTGCGCCTGGATCCACAGAGGGTGGTGGCGTTCCTACGGATGCGGAAAACGTGGCCTCCAGCCGAGTCTCACGCAAACCGTAATTTTTTTGTCCACCTAGTGAATGGCAAGCAAGCAGCTGTATGCTGATACTGTGTGTGTACTGTAAGACCAGATATTTTAACGTCAATTAAAGTTAACGATCTCCGGATTTTTGTGGGTTTACGAGGCGAAGTTCTAACGAATTTTGTCTCGAAACTGGCAAATGACTGTACATGTACATAATTGTTGAGTACATAACGACTTCAAATGTTAATGAATTTTTTAAATTCGTTAGATCGTTAGAATTAAATGTTTGTTAACCTTTTGAGCACGACGCTACCTGAATGCCGCCCCACGTCAACACCTGCAAAAATCGCGTTTTTCCTCTGAAAGTAGTAGCTGTTCAAGGATCGATAACTTTACCTTTCTTTGGACGAATTCCACGATCTTGAGCTTCCTGCAAAGGTCTTGAGGCGAGGAACAAAACAGTTCCAAGCTCAGCTCGGAGCGACACCAAAAGCCCATGCTACAGTCTGGCAAACTTCACGCACGCGCTCGACAGACTTGAGCACGGCCAGGATATCAAATCCTCAGCTGCCATTTCACTCTCCTTGCTCGTATCGAGCTCAAATTTTTTTGAGGACTCCCCAGATCCGCTGCCATCATTTGAATCTAGTTTCCATGGCAGCAGATAGCGCGAAAATGATCGAAAATGGAAAATACGCGTTCTGCAGAGTTCGCAAAAAAAATCGATTTGAATTTGCCGTGTCGAGTCGCATATCTCAACAACCGGTTAACCCGGGGTCGTATCGCTTCGGCGATTGTTTCTATCGCAAGCTGAGAGTTTTCTCTTGCAGATACATATTTCGATCGTGAGAATCGGCCAAGAATTGACCGAGTTACGATAGTTTGAACTCACGCGGTTCATGCAAATCGCGTTTGTACGCTATGTACACTCACGACGTAATAATACGTCATGCGTGGGTGCAATGACACTGTACGTGACGTATTAATACGTCATGCGTGCTCAAAGGGTTAACAATACTGGTCTTACGGTACTCTGCTGGTGGTCACATGACAGAACACACTGTGCACTGTGCTCTTCTTACTCTGCTGCTTCATTAGAACGTACGGCCCAAGCCTCCAAGGGCATGCACATCGGAAGTACTGCACATGTATTTGGGGAAAGTGTCTTTTAAAGCATGCCAGCATACTTTGTGCTTTAAAATGAAAAGTGTCGCTGTTTTATGGTGGAGTGATCTTTTTGAATAGCACTCAAAAGGGCGAAGGCTAGTCTGTGTGTTTCTGAACGAACATTCAAGCGATGCCGACGCGGATCCCGCGAATATTATTATTATTTTATTTGAAGTACTCAAAAGGTATACTTTTGCTCTTTGTGTCGTCCTTTTATTTCCTTTCTTTTTGCAGGATCCTCACAACTGTAACAAGGGCAGGTTCAGCTACAAGAGCATTTTGGCACGCCTAGAAAAACTACAGGAGGAATTGAGACCGTCGAGTTCCAGCTCCAGCTCAACAGAGGACGCATAACAGGCACCGTTGGCGGGAACAATAATTTCTCCTGTGTTGTCCTGCGCCTCCGTGTTGTAGCAGATACCTTAGTCTGCGCTACTCTCCTACTGTCTGCGTGTTGACGTCGTGTTGCATTTAGGCGATGAAACGCAGTGCAGACGTGTGCTGCCTCTCTTCTATTGCGTTCCTTGGCATGCTAAACGGGCAACCAGTTGCCAGATCAGTTTAAATGTCGCAAAACCTGAAGAAAACCTGCCGGTGGTGTGGACGAGAGGATCACCACTGATTCTCTGCACACGCACCGCCGGCACAAGAGTGATTCCTGCTGTCCTCCACACACGCACGCACACGCACGCACACACGCACACACACACACACACACACACATGCACTGGCAGCAGAGGGAGTACAATCTTCGCTAGAACTAGTTTCAACCTGTGCCACCAAAAACACTTCAAGTTGATGTTGCAATATCCCGGAACAGCCATAGTGTCGAGTTTTCACATACGCTCATCTGTCAGCTAACACAACCACTACATGTAGAATGTAACATGAGTCTTGTTTGCATTCTTGTGTGTCTAGCCAATAAACGAAATATCTGGTGTGATAACATATCTATACTGTAAATGATCTATCCTGTAAATGTGTACCTTTGTGAATCATCGGGTAAACATAGACCTCTCTTCTGAAGCAACTTATAACGTTAGTGCCTCTGAATGTGTGTGCGTGTGCTGTTTTTATTGTTTTTTTATTTTAATATATTTGACGGCCATGGTACACGCTGATGCCGCTTTTCTTTACCATTGTACAGCAGTAGCAGTACCTGTGGTTATTCTTTGAGGATATAATAATTCTGCTTTTCAATCCCGCTGACCTAGCTATTGTACTCATCACAGTTGTTGCCATGGTAGTTGTATATATCATGTCATGCAGAGTATCCTGTACATAGTAGCGTACTTGTGTTTAGTGGAGTGCGGAGACTACGGATGGTGATATCTGCACAAGTGTGCATGGTGTGTATGTGCAGTGATTCGGAAGAGTGAACGTAGTGAACTCATCATCATCGGGACGTCGACGTGGACTATCGTTCAGCAGGGGCAGCGAGGCCGTGAGGTGCAGAAGGGGAATGTAGTACCGTTCTAACATTCCCTTACCTACACCTGCAGAGTCCCTGCATGAGTGTGCAGGGGTGATCTTTTGTAGGTGTGATGGTTTGTCAATGTGTTTCTGGATACTGAACAGCCCAATGTGAGAGCTAGAGCATTGTTAGTAGCCCAGATAGAGCATGTGAGGTTGAGAGTGTGTTGACCAGGGAGTACCGGTACTCCCGTGTTGACCACCATTTTACTGTCCACAAAAAAAAGCTACATTTCCGGTGCCCGGTTACCAGGATTATTTCCCCTGTGAAAGGCAGTGCACTGTTTCACTAACCAGAGGAATTCTATAGACCTTATACATGTACAACACCCGGCACTAACTCCATCATTACACTGTCCCTGCGGGAATTTGCGGAAAAAGTCATCGAAAACTTGCGCAAGAAATTGCGGCAGAAAACAACAAAAAATGCGGCGAAAAGTGCGGAACTTGCCAGGAACTCGCGGAATTATTGGCAGGAAATTGCGGATTTGGGGCAAATCACGAAATTTGTTGCATCATTAGAATCGCTATTTGCGTACTGTGCAAATAACCCACGTACAGGATCATAGAAAGCACTGTACTCGTATACTGCGTGAAAAGTGCAGAAAAATGTAAAAAGAAGTGCAGAAAACAACAAAAAAACGCGGGAAATCGGGGACTTTTCAGAAATTTGCGGGTTTTGGCCAAAATCGCGAAATTTGTTGCATCCGTGGAATCGCGATTTCCTGGAGGGACAGATTACAGTGTCGGGTTCCTGCATGTAGAATGGTGTGGTGATGTCACTGGTCGTGCTTGCACAGTGCAAGTACTAGGCGAGTCTTGCATGTGTCGAATACTCGGAATATACATGCGTGTGGACATTTCTTTCTAAAAAAAAAAGTTCGAGGTGATGCGGTTACATCATCAGGTGAGATGCTTTGGCAAAGTCGTGGACTTGCGGCACAGCACTAGTGACTTGCGCTGCATACTTTGCGCCCATTCGAAACCTGCTGACTCACGCTCGTATCTGCTTGTGTCCATTTGAAAATCTCAAAGAAATCATTCGCACAACTTCTACAAGTGTATACTATCACAAAATTTGCCACATGCACATGCATGCGAGTTCCCTATAAGTGGAGTCCATGCACTGTAGTCTGTACTGTAACGCAGGACTCTTGCCGAGTATGTGCTAGTACATGTATACAGTGGTGAAGAGCAAAGAGACACGGTGTCACTATGTGTGTAGTACATGTACTCGCCCAACTGGTGTGGCTCAGCTGGTGCATGCAACACATACTATGATTGTACAGATGCGCTTGGTGAAATCCGACCCAGGGCTTCAAGGGCCGTGCAAGTTGAGGGCGCCAAATATACACTCTGGGTCGGATTTCACCGAGCGCAACTGTACTACTAGCTTATTGCTGACGCCGTTCGGTCATGTATCAGCCGGTATTGCCCTTGTACTCGCTTGTACTCGGGCTGTAAATCATACATACGCAATGGCAAGCCTAGGCCAATTTGTACCATTCTGCTCTTCCTTCCCGCACGCAAGACCCAGTCACTACTATACATGCACATTAAAACCTGCCCTAACCGGACGCCTTTGCTTTGGTGCAGCGGAAACTATCCTGATATAACAAGATACCGCTTGATCCGGGGATGAAAGTTCGATTCGCAGCACTTTGCTGCATGATTATTTGTCCGGTCAATACAGGGTTCTGCTTGGTATAGGGTCCGGCAAACACAGGTTTGACTGTACATGTACTCCAACATGCTATCTATGAATCGATACGTGTATTGCATTGGCTAGAGTAATCGCGCTGCACCCGGGCCAAAGTGTTTCAGGGCCGAAAAGGGCCGGCAGCGTGCCATAATCCCGATATGAAAAGCATGGTATCAAAAGTACCATGAATGGTGCAAATTTCATCGAAAAGGGGGGGGGGGGGCACAATACACTCGGCTGCACAATGTACTCTCGCTACGTACGGAAATAAGAATTACTTCCACATGTAGCACGGTGACGCTGCAAGGATAGCTATCTGCTCAGAAGTAAACAAGGCATGGTTGGTTAGTTAACAGATGCTTTAAAGCATGTAAAGCCACAAAGGTTAAACAAAATAAAGCTATCTGGTTAAAACATCAGTTGCTCGCACAAACTAGTACGTGTACATGCAAAGATATTTAAAAAAGATTGAAAACAAGCACCACTTAGTTTTTGGCAACTGGATTGAATTAGCTATTGCCTTGCTTAGCAACGGTTGGATAGCACTAGTCTCTGATACATAAATATTAATCCGGGTCCTCACTTGCTTCACTGGGGAACGTTGAGGCTTCTCAAACTGCGTCACCGCCTTGATGAACGTCCAAGCACACTTGCTGTCACTCGCTGTGAGCACACACATGGAATAGGAGCATGCGCACATTACGTTGCAGCTTTGAAACACATCTAGCAACATGCGTCCCTATGTGTGCAGCGACAGTAGGTCTAACTTCTCATTCAGACTGACCTGAAATAGGCAAAATGCTATGCACCACTGAAGTCTCAAGAACACGTTGAACGGTCGCTGCTTGGATGACGACTACACCTTAGCTTAGTGGTAGAGGCTCGCTGGCTACAAGCGAGGGTCCCTGGTTTGAGTCCTGGGGGTGACAGCCAATTTTTTTCTTCGGACATTCCCATTTGCATCTTTCCTTCAAACTAATGCACACTACTAGTATGTGCTAAGAAAAATAACCACCTGCCTGAATGTGATCCACGGCTAGTGGCAAGGACAGTGCAGATTGCATTCAAGATGGACACCACACGACTGAGAAAAATTCAAATTGTAATTATATCTGTATTAGCCAGGAAGATGCTAGACACAGAGCCCCTTGGTCAGTAGCAATACATGGGAGTGATTGTAACTGGATTGGTTTTCGCTAAAACAAAGGATATAATCGGTTGTGGCGACAAACGCGATTAGGCCGGCTGCAGGGACGCCGTAATGTCGCACTCGCCCCAGCACCATTCAAACAGTTCCCTTTGGCAGTTCACGGCACGAACTTCAACAAAGCCCCGTGAATGCGTACTAGGGGAAGGCTAGACAGCATGTCTCTAGACATCAATAGGCATCGTATGAAAAGCCAGTCAATAGCACTAAAGAGCGAAAGCCTTTGTCACGGTTCGGTTTCACTCGCGCACCGGGCCCAAGCTGCCAGCGCAAACAAATGCCGGGCGCGAGCTGGCAGCACGAACAAACACCGTACTCACACGAGACCGCTGGGCCAACGGATGGCCACAGCCATCAAAAACAGGAACAAACCCATCCACGGCTCTTTCTCTTGCTAGCTGTGCTGCTGCGTGCATCCAACTGTTTTGCAAGTTCTCAGCCTTCGCCCAAGTAGCCCTCCACCACGACCCCGGCAGAGGTCCGGAATTATTCAAGTACCAAAGCACAATCGTGAAAGCGGCCGCACGCTATACATTCGGTGCGTGGTCTGGCTTCGACATGTCGTTCCGTGCAAGAGCTGCACGCAGCAAATCTAGTCTTGCCACGTCAGATCCGGAACTCTGGTCGGAGTGGTTTACAAACTCCATCCTGCCTCCCTGCCGTCACTGCAACCGGCAAGGTCATTTAACAGTTCGCTGCCCCCGCGCCCGTAGCCTAGCTTCACTGTCTGACGGGCCAGCAGCCAAACGCCCCTTTCCGGCACAGCGGTCAGGGGCTACCGCTCACCCAAACGCCCCAGCTGTCTGCCGCGACTACAACCAAGGCCGCTGCCAACGCGCAGCCTGTCGCTACGGCCACCAGTGCAGCACATGCTTTGGCAGCCACCCCGCCAAGTCATGCCCAGGAAAGCCAGCCGCCGCCAGCCGCGACCAATAGCTCGCAGTTGCCCAGCTTGGAGACTCGGTCACTCCAGTCACTCACCGGTAACTCTACACTCACCCAGGCCAATAGCACTCACACACTCTGCCCAGCTGCTTACATCTCTCCTACACGCACCCTCGCTCACGAGCCAATCCATTTGCACACGCCTGTAACCCCCATTAACGTTTCTTACCTGCAGGACGCTTTGTGTCAGCATCCTGATCCGGCTTTTGCCTCATTCGTAATACATTCTTTGTCTTACGGGTTCGATATTGGGTTTGCTGGTCCCCGTACCTTCCGAGTCTCTCGTAATCTCAAATCAGCGATTGAGCACCCTGACATTGTCGATGCTGCCATCGGTCGTGAAATTGCCGCAGGTCGCATGGCCGGTCCCTACCAAGAGCCCCCCTTCACACTTACACAGGTCTCCGGTTTGGGTGTGGTTCCCAAGAAGTCACGGTCGGTGCAAAAATGGCGCTTGATTATGCATCTGTCAGCACCACAGGGCCACTCAGTGAACGATGGTATCCCTGTCGACAAATTCTCTGTACAGTACTGTTCGGTCGACGACGGCGTAAATCTCGCACGGTCCCTAGGCCGTGGCTGCCATCTGTGGAAGGTCGACCTCCAAGACGCATTTCGCATTTGTCCAGTACGGAAAGAGGACTGGGAACTATTATGCCTGTTCTGGCGCGGGCAATATTACGTGGACAAATGCCTACCCTTCGGCCTTCGCTCATCACCGTCGCTGTTTAACAAAGTCGCAGACGCCCTCCAGTGGGTCATGTCGCACAACTTCGACGTAGCCCCAGTCATCCACTACTTAGACGACTACCTTGGTGGAGCGACGGACTCTATCGGCGCACAGCACCAGCTTGACCGTGCCCTGGTAGCCTGCCACGACTTAGGCTTCCCGGTCAATCCAAAAAAGGTGGAAGGCCCTAGTACAACCCTGACATTCCTCGGTGTCATGCTGGACACAGAGCGCTTCGAAATCCGCCTCCCATCCGACAAGTTAGAAGACCTTCTCATTGCCCTCAAGGCTTGGCAACATACCCGCCCTACCGCCCGCAAGTCTGAATTGTTGTCCCTGATAGGTCACCTCAGCTTTGCCTGCAAGGCGGTCCCTGCGGGCCGCATGTTTCTGCGCCGCCTCATTGATCTCAGCACGACGGTCCCGCATCCAAACGATTACATCAGAATCACAGAAGACGCCAAAGCAGACATCCAGTGGTGGCTTGACTTCCTCCCTGCCTGGAATGGCGTCGCCTTCTTCCTAGAACCCACGTGGTCAGCCGCCGCCGATATGGACCTCTACACGGACGCATCTAGAGCCATCGGCTATGGTGCTTTCTTCGCCGGCCGGTGGCTCCAACACCGGTGGCAGAGGCACCAATCCCAGAGATCCATCGCGTGGATGGAGCTCTTTGCCATCGTGGCCGCAGCATCCACATGGGCACCGCAGCTGCATCTGAAGCGCATCCGCTTCCACTGCGACAACCGTAGCGTATGCGACATCTGGCTCCGCTCACGCACAAAGTGCCCCGACTTAATGGCGCTGGTACGCACTTTGTTTGCCATTGCTGCCCGACACAACTTTCACGTCATAGTCTCCCACATCCCCGGCACTGACAATGCGATTGCTGACTCTCTGTCTCGGTTTCAGATGGCCCGATTTCGCCGACTGGCACCCACAGCAGAAGACACGCCATCTCCGGTGCCCGAGAGCACCTACTCCCTCTGATGTTGGAGGGTCAGGCCTACCAGTGGCTAGGCCTGTCAGCGTCCACACGTGCCACATACGCGACAGCCTGGAAACGACTGCACCAATTCTGCCAACTAGTCGGCACCAAGGTGATTACAGACACCATCATGCTGGCGTTTGTAGCCTACCTGGCGCGTCAACATGCCGCGTCAACCGTCCGCCTGTATGTGTCGGCGATCCGGGCAATTGCCAAAGAAAACGGCAAAGATCTCTCGTCGCGAAGAGTGGACCTCGCAGTTCAAGGAGTGGCACGTGCACAGGCCAACCGAACTAAAAACGCCAGTAAGCCAATCCTCCTGCCCCACATGGCAGCTATGCGCAGGGCCCTGATACGGTCTAACCTCAACGCGACCGACCGAGCCATGGTATGGGCAGCTATTTGCCTGGGCTTCTTTGCGTGTCTCCGGGCAAGTGAGTACACTTCCACAACCGCCACGACCATGTCAGACGGTGGCCTCCGAACAGAAGACCTCTCCATCACGCCGCAGGCAATACAGGTCACAATCAAGAAGTCCAAGACCGACCAACTCGGCAAGGGTCACTCCGTCCGGCTCACAACCACCAACTCAACGGTTTGCCCGGTCAAAGCCATGCATACCTATCTATCAAGACGCCCCAACCTGCCCAATAGACCACTGTTCGTTGACAGCTGTGGCAAGTTCCAACTGCACCAAGACTCACCCGTCTAATCCGTCAGCTCCTGAGCAGCGCAGGGTACCCACCTATCCAGTATTCACTGCACGGCCTCAGAGCCGGAGCCGCAACCACAGGAGCAATGAGCGGCTTCACCGAATCCGAGATCATGAAACTCGGCAGATGGCGAAGTGCCTGCTACAAGAACTATGTACGCTGTGGAAAGTAACTGTTCGCCGTCCGCAGGCGCGCAAGCGCGCACAGCCACACCCACATACACGCACCCGCAGACACATACACACGCACGCACACACACCCACGCATGCACACACACACATGCATGCACGCGTACACGCACCCACAGTCTGACACCGCACAAGCATGCATGCAGGTACACACGCTGCGCACACGCTGGTACGCCCATTCGCGGACGTATGCACTCACGGTCTAGCACTGACTGTGCACGCACGCCTCTGATACTTATGATAAGTTATCTGCACCACTCTGTTGCTGTGCTATAGCTCCCACCTAGCGGTGTGGGACACCCCATGCTATGGCGGTGTGGGACACCCCAGACCATGGCGGTGTGGGACACCCCAGACCATGGCGGTGTGGGACACCCCATGCCATGGCGGTGTGGGACACCCCATGCCATGGCGGTGTGGGACACCCCATGCCATGGCGGTGTGGGACACCCCATGTGTGCACGCACGCTCCGACTACATGCGATTCAAACCCTTCTCGGTGTCACTAAGGGAAAACAAACATGCGAAGGGCACGCATTTGAACTACGTACATGTAGCTGAAGCGCTTGAATACCACACTAAGGTCATTCGGCTGACCAACGCGGAATTTGGGGGCATTCGGCGGCTTGGTCTGATTCCTAGCTTGTTGGTAACCGGCTTGAGGTTTCCAAGGTTGCTATGACAACGTGCAGTCATGCGCAGGGCCACCCAACATGCGTTGGGGGCCCAGGAAAGACAGAAACGCGTTGCTAGGCAACAGCAAAAGCGCTCAGCGAGTATCACGCTACTCATGCAGCACGCACGCTGGCTTAGGGTATCACGCTACCCTTGCGCTGCGGGGTACCACATTGCCCCTCGCTGGAATCAGACCCGCGCCCCGGATACCTTGCGCTGGCCTCCTGACGGCCAAACTCAACCAACTTGCGCGCTGTGACTGGGGTTGTGCATGCCTTAGCAACATAATGTGGCCCAGGTCGGCAGACTTTCAATTAGCCAAGCGAGCTACTCAGGCCAGGGCGCATGATCACTATTCGCAGCACTTATCGTCCATGCAGCAGTCGGGTTAACAAGTGCACAGAAGAACTATAATCATCTCTCTATTTACTTCATACACTTGAAGTACATGTACAGTCATGTACTTTCTTGCTACATGTACTCTACATGGGCCACTTCAACTTGAGGCACCGTTCATTCATTTTTCTTTCTTTTCTCCCTTCCTCTTGAAAGTTGTACTTTGCGCAACCCACCTGTTGGAAAAGCTTTGCATTCATGCGATTTACTTCACGCTCCCGCTGAGCTTTACTCTGTTCCTCTCTCTGTTGGACTTCTGGCAGGTTGTTGTACTTCCTGCACAAGAAACAGTTCCAAAAAAGAGACATCACTACAATAATGCCTAGCTTTCCAAGGGAGACAAAGTACAGAGGGAGGTGGAGGAAGAGAAGAAAAATAAACTTTATAAAGAGAAGAGAAGAGAGAGAGAGAGAGAGAGAGAGAGAGAGAGAGAGAGAGAGAGAGAAAGAGAGAGAGAGAGAGAGACAGAGACAGAGAGAGAAAGAGAGAGACAGAGAGAGAAAGAGAGAGAGAGAGAGAGAGAGAGAGAGAGAGAGAGAGAGAGAGAGAGAGAGAGAGAGAGAGAGAGAGAGAGAGAGAGAGAGAGAGAGAGAGAGAGAGAGAGAGAGAGAGAATACAAACAAAGAGAGACAGCTGCATTGACCTCCCCAAGAATGAACACAAAAGGTAAATCCCTATCATCAAAAGTACTAGGATTTCCTAACTAACATTACAACATGTATAAACCATACCGTCTTGTGTTTTGTACAATTTCCCTTCTTGACATATGGCGAGCAGAGTTAGTGGCTGGATAGCTGCGCGAGTACCCTACAATAGGCATGGAGGGAAGGAGAACAGCAGCCTTCGTCATCACCAGCATTCACGTGGCTGACAATACGAGCCACGAAAGGATGAAAACACCGAGGATAAAACAAAAAGCAAATACATGTACCTATTTCCACGTTGTCTCGCTCTGCAGCACCGTGGGAGTGAAAGTGACCTTGTTGTGCGCGAGTGTTGATCAGGAAGAATGATAGGCAATGGAACAGACTTATCACTGTGGTCAAAGCTAAGGTTTCCAGGCTTACAATCTGCATGTACGCACCTCCTTTCAGAACGTATTACGGGTTGTGGGTGCTTGCCAGAAAGCCTATACTGTAAAACCGGAAAATTTCGGTGGATATTTATTTTCGGTAACTTCGGTACAGGTAATTTTTACCAACCATGCCATGCCACACAGTGTGCAAAATGCATTTTAGGATCTGGAAAACTGGTTTACCGAAATTTTCGCGCTACCGAATGGTTGATTTTGGGAAATACCGAAAATATTACACCGCCTAAAATTCCCGGCTTTACAATATGTCTGGCAAAGTAGCGGAGATTGTCTGGCATAGTATTTACCCTGTCCTGTGCTAAAATAGCATGAAAAGCTACGGAGTTTGCCAAGTATCAAGAGGGAATCCTGGTATTTGTACCACTCCCATACTACAGTTAGAGGACACGTGTTTGGCTAAAGGGCGTGGAACACGCAGAGCAAGCAGACACTTCCACACACCAGCTGGAATCATTACAACATGGACAGTAGTCAAAGATGCCTGGCTATCCACCACTGCCAACTTGGCCACAGTGCACTGGTGTACTGACCTGGTGCCGCGGACTGACGTGATGAGCGAGAGCGATGATGATGATGATGATGATGGTGGCCAACATGCGTATCTACATGGCGGCGCGACGGCTGTCTATTTGGTGGAGGACGCGAGTCTTCGTCGTCGTCGGAAGAGGACGAGTGCAGTTGCATTTCCATCATGCGCTTGTACCGCGCCACCGCCAGGGTGTGCTGGCGCTTGCGGCTGCGTGCAATGAACGGCCTCATCTGCTGCTGGAAAGCATCCTGCAGGCTGAGCGGTACCACGGTGGGCAGCGGAGAGCGTCGCCCGGTGGGCTGTGCGCTTGCTGTGGACCTGGGTACCGTGGCCGCCGTGGACGTGTACACCTGTCCCAGCGGGAAAAAGAACCAGTTGGACGTGCTTGTTTGCAATTCGTGGGCGCCAGCAGTCATCTGTACAGGCGCCAAGGCCTTGTCAACACTGTTGCCAGAACCACCCGCTGGCTGTGGCAACACTATGAGTTGCTGTTGGGGGCTGCAAATTGGGGGCTGCTCCTGTGGCTGTGGAGTTAGCAGCTTGGATGCAGGGCTCCCAGCATGCTGCTGACTCTGTGCTGCTGTACTGGTTACATACTTAGAAGAAGCTGAGCGAGCAGGGCCCGTACGCCTTTGCTGTGCACTATCAGCGGTTACCGTCTTTGCAGAAAGCTGAGATGAGCCTGCCTGGCGGCCACCAATGGCGGAGCTAGACGCTGGGTGGTGTTTGGAAGCTTGCCTGGCCGTATGTGACGAGGTGTGGCGACTACGTGAGTGCTGTCGGACGCCAGGTGTAGAAGCGGCAACGGAGCTAGAAGAAGGCCTCTGTTCATGTGCCACTGCTGCCGTCGTACTAAAGAGACCTGCCAATCCATTCCTGCTCTGGTCGGCTCTAGTTCTGGGCACTGGGCCAAATTTCAAGCTCTCTACCAGCGCTGTAAGGGTATCGACACCAAGCTGCCGCAGGTGATCACAGACACACTGTTGCTGCTGTTGTGCCGATTTCTCACCAGTACTTTTCAGGCCAGCGTGACAAGCAGCCGCTTGCAGCTGTGGCCCAACGTTCAGATCCTGCAGCTGCTGCCAGAGCTGATCCACACGGGGAATAGGCTGACTAGCATCAGGCATACTACCAGGCACTGACGAAGAACTAGATACACTGGGTCCAAGCTCTAGCTTCTGACGAACTGTGCTGAGGTTCCTATGTGCCACTGCTGCTGCTGTTGCCGGTTGTCCAATAAGAGGTGATTCCTGAGCCCGTGCATTAACACCAGGGGCTTGGTGGTGCCTTGCTGGTGGTCGTTTAACTGTGGTATGGCTGGTCTGTGTCATGGGGTGAAAGAATGATGACTCTGGTGTGGTCTGCAAAGAAGTGGTGGACAGGTCACCCAGGACACTGCTCAAACAAACAGAGTCATTCAGGCCAGGTCTGGTAGATGTAGTGGCAGCAGGGTTAGAATGTGGGGGCTCTACACTGGCTTGGCCAATAAGTAGATGCTGTGACGAGTCCGCGCTCGTACTGGTGACTGTTCGGCTTCGACTCCCAGCAACACCAATCTGATTTGAGACTGAGTGCATTCCAAGGTTCTCAATGGTGGAATCACCCGCTGTCAGGTTGGCATTGTTGAAGCTTCTGAACCGTTCACGATTATCTTCTGCTATTGAGCCGTAATCCGACTGCTCATCAGCTGTATTCGTTAGGGTCGAGTCCAGCGTTCCGTGCAATGAGCCAGCACGTGGTAACTCCACAAAGGCACTAGGATTTCCAGTGTCCGTGTATTTCCTTCCATCGTCTGGGACACCTTGGAGGGAGTACCATTTGACCTGTGCCATGGAGCAATCAGGCTTTATACAACGTAGTAATTTCGCAGGTCAAACTGAGGAAAAAAGGGATAATAGGGAAAATAAAGCACGGTGATTTTCGGATAAAACCACGTACTCTGCAGGAAATAGAAGTCTTTCGGCCAACAGAAGCCTCTTTGCTTTATAAAAGACCAGGCAAACGTGTAAGTAACAACACCATTCTGCTTCCGAGACAGTCGCTTCTATCTCATGTCATTATCATGTAAAAATGGGTTCAGCGTCGTTTTCTTTCTTTCATTCCGAAAACCTTTTTTTTCTGAACTTTCGAACTGCTACCATTTCCGTTGCTTCGGAAACGGCGTGGTTGCCTCGCAACACAAACAACGCTACTACGGCATTTTTGGGTCTTTTCTGAGAAAATGAACCAAAAATGCCCCTTTCAATTTTTGCAATTCATTCAGATCAGCTGAGAGAAAAATCAAAAGAGCTATCGGGGGGTCCACTCAGTTACTTTACTGCAGTTCGCGACAAAGCAAAGTAGAAATTGGAGATCGTGTTTATTATTCTGAAGGGTGGATTGTTGAAGCAGTCCAGCACCGTCGGATTGAACTCGGCTGCCCTAGAAACTGCGATTTCTCAACTAATGCAAGCTATTTGATTGTCCTTTCTCAAGAATGGCAGGTATGTATTTGTTATCTGCAGCTTATTTTATGCTAGTCACGTGCTTGAAACGGGTCTTGAAACCGTGTTTGTTGTTTTGCAGAGTCTCTGCGGAATGTCAAACATGTAATACTGGTGTTGTCCGGCAAAGGGGGTGTTGGAAAAAGCACCCTCTCTGCCCAGCTGGCCTTAGCATTGGTCAAGTCTGGCCTAAAGGTGAGTGATCCTCCGGTACACTAGAGATACTGTATAGCAGGAAATTTTCGGACAGAATTTATCTTTGTACGATTTCGTACACGGCCTCTTTTGTACTAAAATTAATTCCGTACTAAAATTTGTCCATGTGAAATTATGACATGGTTTAGAGAGTGAAAGGAAAGCTAAGCGCAAGGCAAAACTCCTTGCAAACTTCCTCCAGACCCAACAAGAAGAAAGAGGAAATCTTGCACGCGTCGCAGAACGGCCTGGGTCCCCAGGAGCATGTCGGGATACAGGAACACAAAGTGCATACATGAGTGCGTATATGGAACAGCATACACGCGCACACGCGCGCGCGTGGCAATGACTACTAGGCAGCGCACATGATGAATGCTTGCAGTACAAGGGTACAACGGGATACTCTATTTCACCCCTCCTCCTGGTGGCCACATGATGGACACCACAATCAATGAAGAGCACTAAAGAAAGGTAAAGAAATGGAAGGGAAGAGCAAAACACACAACCAAAAACAACCTGCTGATAACACTCTTCAACAAAAACAAACTCAGGCAGCACCAATGTCCCGGAAACGCACATGAGGCTGTAAGGCAGATCGGTCACGCAGTACTCGCTGAACAACCGGGACAAAATTCAGAGCATCAGCATCAGGCATGAGCAAATCATCCCCAGGCGGAGCAGCATGACAGACAGGCTTGAGCAAGTCAATGTTGACGACTTTTTCACCCTGACCATTAGTACGGGCAATGGCAACTGTGGATGGGGAAACTTGGTGCTTCACATGCCAGCCAGAGTCGAATGGCGACAGACACTTCTGGTGACACGCAGGACGATGGAAGAGGACATTCTCCCCGACAGCGTGCGGGCACTGCCAATTGGGTTCCTGGAAGTCGACAGCTGACAAGGCAGCATCGAGGTGGTCACGAATATGAGTACTATGCTGCGCGATGCCATGCACCCATGCCCTCAGAGAGACGGGATCAGTCACGCTCTCAACAATCAGATCTCGTGGCGTCCAGCCACACATAGCATGCATAGGTGAAATTTTCGTAACGGCATGGGGTCGAATCCGGTAGTGGTAAAGGAGCAAATCCAACTCGGCCCTCCAATCGTCGGCGTCGGTGAGCACTTTCCGGATCAATGTCAACAGGGTGCGGTTGAACCGCTCAGCAGATCCTTGCGACTGAGGGTGACGGATTGCGCCACGCTGCACAGAGACGCCGAACCTCGAAAACAACACATCAGTGATGGCATTCACAAATTCTGTACCTTTGTCGGAGCGAAGCAGCCGGGGTGGACCCCAGCGAGCACAAACAGAGACAAACGCGTGAGCAACACTGGCAGCATCATGATGCTGAAGGGGAACCACCTCCACCCACTTGGTGAAGGTGTCTACACACACTAAAACGCAATGGAACGAGTTGCCTCCACCAAGCTCTAGTGTAGCGACCTGGACAACATCCCCAAAACCAGAAGCCGGCGCGAATCCGACAAATAGACATCGACGCTCTCGTCCACACGTAGGGTACGCTTCACAAATTTGGAATACGCCTGTGTCGGCGTCAGGCCGAAGGCCGACCTCAATGCCGAAGCGATAGTCTTATCATCCTTCTTGTCCGTGTCCGTCAGCTGGGTCCAAACGGCAAACGATTCGCCCTCAAGAAACATGGGGAGCTGCGCAGCACGTTGGGCTTTGGTTGTCCAACCATGGTGACCTGCCGTAAGCTGAAACTTTGTCAGAAAGACTTCCAAGTCCTCTCCTCGACCACCCGTGAAACATTTCACTCGAGGCAACGAACTCGCCGATCCAAACATACTCTACGCTCGTACAACAGCAAGTCAAACTAGGCCGGGTTTCGGCATCACTTGTTGGGGAGCTTCACCCACACTGTGAACTCACGGCCACCACAACTCGTACAAGGAGTTCTGAAATAGACTATAATTATTGACATGGTTTAGAGAGTGAAAGGAAAGCTAAGCGCAAGACAAACCTCCTTGCAAACTTCCTCCAGACCCAACAAGACAAGAAGAAAGAGCGAATCTGCATGCGTCGCAGAATGGCCTGGGCCCCGAGGAGCATGTCGGGATACAGGAACACAAATTTCACACATGAGTGCGTATATGGAACAGCATACACGCGCACACGCGCGTGGCAATGACTACTAGGCAGCGCACATGATGAATGCTTGCAGTACAAGGGTACAACGAGATACTCTATTTCACTGCGGTGGAGCGGTGAAATGTGAAGGTTCTTAGAAGAATTTTCCCTCTGGGAATATAATAATTATTATGCAGGCATGCAAAAGATGACTGCTATTCCTAGCAAGCGGTACAAATGGCTACATGTACTCGCTGTTCCATCATTAACTTTAAAAAAAAGGATTTGCACGCCTTCAACTAATACTTGTTTGTCTTGGACTTGAAGGGGAAGTTAAGTAGGGATCTCAGCGCGTGAACTGCGCAGCCAGTCTGCGCAGGTGAGATTTTCGATCCCAAACGCGTCCAGTGCAGAAATCGTGGAAAAGAACATTTTTTCGAAATAAATCAAGTTGAAGAAGACAGTAGAAATGGCTGAATATTGCGTCCAGGAAAGCACGTTCTACGGCCATCTCCAAGCTACCTATCTCCCAGACACTCTCTCAGAATGGAGGGTCAAAGAGCACAATCTTTCACTCTTGGACGCAGCGTGAACACCTCTTCTACTGAGCGCGATGTCTTCTCTCCGAGTGATAATGGCGGCGATGTTCGCGATGGCTGATGCACTGAAAATCGAAGTTTGGACAATCTAACCGGAGAAAACGTCTGAATTTTTGACTGAATCCTCTCTGAAGTGGGTTCTTGCCACATGGAAAATTATAGGAAAATCGACCGGGGCAATATCGCCTTGGCCACGCTGTCCTTCGGCGGGAATTACAAAGTATGTTCGAACGACGATGAAGATGACGATTCCGCTAGTGTCCACCGCGTCCCCTAGTGTCGAAAATCGACCGTCGCCATTTTTCTGCTGTGTCCGCGAGCTGCACTCAAAACTCGATGACGCAATGTATGCGCAAACACCCTGCGCACTGCACGCGCTGAGATCCCTAAGTTAAGGCAAAAATTAAAATTTCACCAGTTGTAGTCTTCGGGGTGCTGAGTCGAATGGTCGTGGTCCGAGGAAGCTGAGACGCTCCCTTCCTACTTGAATCCCAATCGAACTCGCGCACTTCCACCGAAACTGGGTGACTGCGCCCTACTAGATGGGGATTTGTATGCAAAATGTCACTAAAAGTGCCATTTCGTTATTATAAAAGCACGGATGACCACAATTGGCCCATATGTTGTAGTCTTTTGGACGCTGAGTCGACTGGCTTTGGTCCGAAAAGGCTGCGATGCAGCGTTCCTCCTTTATTCCCAATCGAACATGCTTGAACAAGCGGTCACGTGCTCCTGCGTACGCCAGTCACCTGGTCACCGTGCCTGCAGGGTACAACTTACTAGCCTGTTTGACCTTTTTTGGGTGCAGTCCTGTCACTCGAGTTGGAACCTTGGTGTGAAAGTCGTCGCCTGCTGGCGTGGTGACCAGGTGATTTGGGCACCCAGGAGCACGTGACCGCTTGTTCAACCATGTTCGATTGGGAATAAAGGAGGAACGCTGCATCGCAGCCTTTTCGGACCAAAACCAGTCGACTCAGCGTCCAAAAGACTACAACATATGGGCCAATCGCGGTCATCCGTGCTTTTATAAGAACGAAATGGCGCTTTTAGTGACATTTTGCATACAAATCGCCATCTAGTAGGGCGCAGTCACCCAGTTTCGGTGGAAGTGCGCGAGTTCGATTGGGATTCAAGTAGGAAGGGAGCGTCTCAGCTTTCTCGGACCAAGACCATTCGACTCAGCACCCCGAAGACTACAACTGGTGAAATTTTAATTTTTGCCTTAACTTCCCCTTTAACCCATTGAGGGCTACACGGCCTTTTATCTGAGACTCTGAAGAAAATGCTAAAAATATGGCCAATGTACAGCTCCACAACTTCATAATCTAAGAAACTAGGTTGTTGAACTCTTGTGAAATGTTGACCAAGGCTATAATCATCATGCTGACCAACTCGATATAGATCCTAGAAAGGGGAACAAAATGCTATATGACACGTAAGTTCATCCAAATTGCGTAAAATACGAAAAAGTCGCCAATTTGAGTCGAATCACCGGACGAAAAAGAAGAAAAAAAGTATCCAAGCGGGATTCGTACCCGAAACCTCTCGTTTTGAATGCAGGAAATGTACCGCTCGACTCTGGGGTCTCTTGCAACCCTACGCTGGAACTCGGAGCTTAGTACGGTAGGATAGCCTGTCAGCCCGAGTATATTCGGGCTCAGCGCCCTGACGTCATCCTGAATCCCGAATATATTCGGGCTCAGCAGTCAATGGGTTAACGGGTTGTGAGGAAACCTAACAGAAGTAACGCCTTTGGTAGCTGCCCTGATTGAACTACAGACGGTTGCAACCTTGTTTGCCGTGCCGTAACAAGAATGAAAAGATCGATAAACTTGTCTAGGCACATCCAAGCCTTGCAAAGTCTGAGGTCTACCTTAGGGCGCGTTTGGTTGGTACCACCTAGAACAGGATTCACCAGAACAGCGCGTTTGATTGGGATTGCACCTGTTCTGGGTCGGCCAGAACATGTTCTGCTTGCTCCGGCCTCGAAGCCGGAGCAGACCGAGCAGTTTCACTTTTTCACAGTGAAACCTGGCGGGAACATCGATTTTTGGTCCCAAATGATCACGTGCATACACTTTTGGGTTAGGTTCGTAGTACCGTACAAAGTGACCATGGTGACCCATACACATTTTGAAGAATGCACGAAGTTTGGCACATTTTTCACAAAAATGTGCTCTGTTTCTGGAGTACCGTTTGGTTGGCATGAGGCTGCTCCATGTGCACCAGCTGTTCGATCCTGTTCTAGATCATACCAACCAAACACACCCTTACAGTCCATTCAGAAAAAGATGAGGGCTGGCTCTGAAGAGCTCCCGTATTTGGCGATTTTGTGATACACTATCAGGGCATGCGCTAAGGATTAAAATGTGCTCTGACACAATG